AGAAATGTTTAAACCTATGTGTCCTAGAAGCAGAGGGCTGAGGGACATGAGATTTCTGGCCATATCCCAAAGACAAATCCAATGGTCTAGTCACATGAACTCAGTCCTCACACCCAGAGTGCCTCCTGGTGCTTGGATGTCTTTGCTCATCGGTGTTAGGCATTTTAATTCAAGGCATGTTTCATATTTTTCCCACTGTGATTAAATTACTGAAAAAACCTATCTGACAGCTTTAACTAGTGCATAGCTGTGCTTATCTTGGATGTTGAAAAGAAGAAATCTGAAACAGAATATTTCCTACAAGGTATCTAAAAACACAAATGGAGGTCTAAAGGAGTCATGAGTCCATCCTCAAAATGGAAGCTGTTGAGCCTAATCCTATCTTTCCAGAGCTCCCCAGCCTTTTATGCTATCCTGTTCCTCAGAGAACTTCTGAAAAATAATTTCCACTGGTGTCAAGGGGATCTTGGAGAAGGACAACTTCCTGGGACAAGAAGTCAGGACAACGATGGCTGAACATATAGATTCCACATCTGCCTAAGGGCTGTACATACTCACCATTGTAATGATCCAGCCAAACTCTTGCTTGTTGATTCCTATCATATAGGGGACAGGGTTGACGTGCTTTTCTGCCAGAATCTCTTCAGGTGTCTTGGGCAACAGCACTCCATCCACCACAGTGGGAATGAAGGGACAGTGCTGAGGAAGAGAATGTCTGTGATTATGCTGCTACAGATGATAATTCTCTCTCTCTCTCTCTCTCTCTCTCTCTCTCTCTCTCTCTCATTCTTTCTCTCTCTCTCTCATGAGGGTGTTGCATGCATCATAGATCATAGATACCCCAGTGGAGGGAAGTGGCCACAGAAGCTCAAGGTCTAATAACAAGGCTGTGTCTGTGAGACACCAAGGACAGAAATTTGGGGAGCTGATGATCATTCTAATGGTCATGAGGTGTTACTGGTGGGAGAGGAGAAAGGGAAAACCATCACCCATAAGCATGTAGCTTATCTATATCATGTAGTGTTTCCCTCCATTAGGCACATCACACCCTCCTGTGCATAGGAACAATAGACAGCACTTCAACACTATGCTTGAGAACCCTGTCAAATCAAGAAATCACTAATAGAAATAAATATTGCAAAAACTGGGGCACTCATAGATGTCCACAAAAGATACATTTTAGTATGAGAGATGGGGCAATAAAGTAGATTTTCTCCTTTGAAGTCACATGGACACATGATCATGATCTGACTGAAATTGCTCAGTCCTCTGTCAATAAATTCATTGTAGATAACCACAGGAGTCTCACAAGTATAAACTTCATCAAGTAAGTTAATTCACAAATACAGAATCCTAGACTGCTAAGCTTCAACTATGTGTACCTGTTTATCTCTAAAGCTGAGGATTTTAAACTTACCACTGAAAGTGCCTAAATGACATTTTGTCCCCTACTGAAGAGTAAGAGAAAATGAAGACAAAAGCCAAACCCTACTGTAGTCATCTGAGAATACAGACGGGATGAGTGTAAATATTGTTACTGTACAGCAATAGTCCAGAAATGGCTGCTCTGGGAATCAACAAGAGGAGCAGCTCATCTTAGGGAAGATACATAACAGGGCCCTGAGACAGCTGACTGCCAGTAACAGCAGGATAAGGATGAAAGCTATGGCAAAGTAAAGAAAAGGCAAGAATGTTCTGAAAGTGAAAACATCCTGAGCATGGGAACAAAAGTATTATGACTGTGTAGCACTATAACACCAGGAATGTCAAGGAGTCCTGAGTTTGGATGAATGCAGAAAATAATATCCTTTGTATAATCTTTGGTACATCCTTGACCCTCAGGTGTATTAAGACTAACTCAATGGAGGAAAGGCAATTTGTCATATAGACAAGGTTAGGCTTTTATGAAAGGACAATATGTGCTAGCTTAGGCCTGCAAAGTCATGTCTGTAATATCATGGAGAAGAAAAATAAAAGGCAGAAATTAGAAAACATGCACAAGGCAAGCATCCAGGGACTTTGTGTTTCTTCTATAGGAGATCACTGGCATCACCAACCATGAGAATGCCAGTGATGGTTACCACATACCTGTGGACATTGGTAACTGCCTTGTGAGGCTATCTTCATGGTTTTTCTTGGATCAGAAAGTTCAACAGTAGATGTCTCCCTTTTCCTTACACCCCATACTGTTTTCTTCAACAATCTTGTCAGTTATTCCTTGACATACATCCAGACTCTACCCACATGTCTCCACCTCAGTGTACCAGCCCTGTTATAATCAGGCAGAACCCTTTACCCTTGTTTCTCTAAAGCAGTGGTCTCCCAAGTTGTCTCTATGCATTTGTTCTCTCTCTTCTTGCTCTAGTTCTTTGTAAAATCTGAGACATACCACTGCTCTAGTCAGACCACTCTGGTTTACCCAACTCATTCTGAATTAAAATTCAAGTTCTTCTAATGCCCTCTCTAACAAACCCCACCCCTGCCTATTACTGTCAATAGCCTAAATACTCATTTATGCCCTGAAACATGAAATGCATTCTTAAATCTTTGCTGTGTGGCTGAATATATCCTCTTTCATTCTCACAAGTTCTTTAAGAGAAGTGTTATGATACCCAGGGTGGCTGCACAGAGGATAAGATTGTAAGATGCTACACAGCTAATGACACTAGACCAAGAAAACACCATGAAGAGTGAGGAGAAAGAAGAAAGATAAAAATCTGGAGGTTTTCTGGTTTCCAGAAGCCTGTGTTCCCTGTGTCCTCCCAGGAGACCTGCCCTCAAAAAAGACTCTGGATCCACTTAACTAGACTTCTCTCTATCCTGGGAGTAGAAGATTCTGAAAAGTTCTCCTTCCACAGAGCCTTTCAAACAAGGAAATGTGCCTGAGAAAAGTGATAGCTGAACCCAGACTGTATAGATTTGCTGATAGGGAACATTGCACAGGGGATCAGGCAATGTATTCCAGTCCTGTCTATGATGATCCTGGTTGTATTGAGAGAGGAAACTACCTCCTGGGGTGAAGCTGGGCGACTATGGGTTAACCATACAGCTGAAGTGTTTGAGAGAAATGATGGAGATGAATTCCTTGAAGAAACTGATGATTTTGACCCTGACCATGTACAGGCTCAGCTGTGAGTTAAAACAGCACAGCAGATGTATGTGTCTTCATGCCCTTGATCACTCTTTATTGCCTTTTAATCATTGATTCTATAGCTTTCCCTTGTGCAGATTATCAGTGAAAAATTTTGCCATATGATGAAAACAATATAAAAGTGGAAACAGGGCTTTGTGATCAGCCCTTGGTTGAACATTAGTCACTGAGGGATGCCAGCAATAAAAGCCTTTTTGCCCCTATTTCTTGTCTGAGTGGGTTTTGTTCACAATTCTCTGTAGTCTCCTGCTTCAGTATTATCATAGCAAGTCATTTCCCCTCTCTATGCCTAATATGCACACAAGAATGGTCTGTAATTCGGCAAAGGAGAGTGTTTTCTTCAACAGTACATTGGAGTTTGAAGACATAAAGAATCAAAACATGTAACCAGGAAATCACAGGTCTTTACCTCATTTGGGTCTCCAAATAAATCCACACCCAGAAGTTTCTGTGAAGACAAAGATATAAAATGTGAGAAGGCTTTCTAGGGTAAAAATCTCATTCATTCGCACTGTGCTCAGACGCATCATGATTTTCTTCCTGCTTCATCTTTAGCTGGTACTGGAGAAGGGCAGTATACAGGATCTTCTGGGCATAAGTACAAAGTGACAGAGTAGGACAGGGATGGCAGATACAAGCAGGAGAGGGGAGAGTAGGTAACCAAAAGTCAGTGCTGCTGGAACTCTTTAGAGCACACTTGCTGTTGATACATGCCCTGCTCATCCTTTCCCTAATTTCCTCCCCCTGGAAACATAACTTCAATTTTCTTCTTAGGAAAAGGTGGAAAGGGGTTGACTATAGTTGGGGGACTGTGGTAGCTACAATGACTGACCAGGAAAGAGGTGAAGTAGAGTGGCAGGAGACAGAATTCCCATTATGCCTTCCTCATCACCTATGTCCATTTTCTCTTCCATTTCATAACTTTGGGTATGCATATTTGACCTGAGATCTCTACACTCCCAAACATAGACATTAGTGTAAGGCTAGATACGTGCCAGGGTCAGTACAACAGAGTGTACATGAAAATGAATGCTGTAACTTTACGATAAATGATTTCTAAACTGGTAGAAGTCCAGAGGGTGGTTGTCTGTTAAACTTTCCAGTAGATAATTGTGATTCAGAGAAGCCAACAAACAAGAATAGAAGCTGAGTGACACAGCCAAGTAGATTCTCGATAGCTTCAGAGCACTAGGGTCCAACCCAATGGACCTAAGCCTTCTGTTTCTGAAATTTTCAGTTATCTGAGGATTTTATCACAACATTTTTCCATCAAGTCAACCTAAAAGGAACTTTGTCACACAAACTGGTGGATGCTCATTTCAGTTCATGCTTTTCTTTGCTGTGTGCCAATATTACAGTGATTCACAGAGATGGAATTTTCCACTTTTGCTAACAAGTCTGATCTACATACATGAACACTGAACCCTAGTGATGCCTCCATTATGGAGGTAATCCTCACAAGCCAAGTGCCATGTGTGTGTGTGTGTGTGTGTGTGTGTGTGTGTGTGTGTGCACGTGCGCTCGTGCGCGTCCTAGGAACAATGATAATGATGGAAGCACTTTCATTACAACTCAGAAAAGTTTGCTGGGATCACAGGTTCCTTGGATTTTCCCAACATCACCACCGATTCCAAGACAAACTGTTTCTTCTTGTGCTACATGGAGAATGACTAAATATTTTTCATATGTTAAAAGATAGCAGTGACTTAGGGCCAGCGAGACAGCTCAGCAGACAAAGCACCTGCTTTGGCAAGTTCAGGGACTAGGCTGTGATACCTGGTTCTGCATCCCCCATGAGCCCCACCCCCAGGGTGCACAGAGCCAATGACAAAGTCCCAACATGGTAGCGCACCCCTGCAATCCCAGTGCCAGTGATGCTCAAAACAGGAGGATCACCACAAGTCCTATCTATGTAGTGAGGCTCTGTACCAAAACAAAAATAAAAGAAAAAAAAAAAACTAGCAGTGACTTAATTCTTTAAGTATCTTGGACAACCTATTTGACCCAGTTAATGAGAACCCCAAATCTAGGACTACATTAGAGTCAAACCATGGACACACTGTCAAAACAGCACTAGATATTTGCCCTGAAACCATAGAAGTTTCTTCTAGGTTTGAGATCCAGATAGAGAAATGAAAAGCTCAGGTAACTCATGGGACCACAATTAATACTTCCCCACAGAGTGAGTAGTTTCCATGGGCCCTGGATACTGTTCTCTGGAGACTGTCTTGCTGGAATTCCCTGTGATGACACATGGCTATGACCTTCCATCAATGTGTAAGTGTTATCTTCCCTGAGAACCAACACTACTAGCTAGTATGAATTGTGTTGCATCTCTGCACTCCTACTACATTTAACCAAATGAGTCTGTGGTTTTGTTCCTCCTTGTATAGTCCTTTTAGAAAACATAGTATGATCAATTTGTATATAGATCTCCCACTGCAAGCATCCTTCTAGACACTAAGAACAGAGAGATGGATGAATGCCTTGGTCAATACTAGCATTTTTGGATTGATAAATGGATAAGCAAATGAAAGGTAGCAGGTGGGTGATGGATGTGTCATTGTTTTTGGAATAATCAGTGATGTTCTGATGTGGCTTAGGCATACATCTCTTCTTGCCTTGCACACACAAAGCCGTGGTTTCCATCCCCAGCATCACAAAAAAGGGGGAAAAAAGAATGAGTATTCAGTAAAAGAGTTTAGACAGTTAGTTGATAACTGATGGATGAAGGATGCATTAAAAATAGGTAAGTGGAAAATTATGGATTGCTAAGTGCATTGGAAAACATAAATGGAAAGTTATGGATTGATAAGTGCTAGACTAATGAAATTATCAAAGAATTGTACGGAAAGGATGGATAGATAAAGATATGGAGGGAATATGATAAATAAATGATGGATAGTTACAAGCTAACCTAATTGAATCAGAGCTATCAATAAACCTAGAAAATTGGACTACTGCTGTGCTAAAATTTTTGTAGCTTCTAAATCAATCAAGATAAAAAGAATGGTTAGTTGTTTACATAAATATAGACTATCCAATTTCTTCCAATACATCAAAGACTCAAAATATTAGAGTTGAAAGAACTGGAGGATGCGCTTTGTTATTAGTTTTTCATGCTCTTATGGGTACCTTTCACATTTGTGCTATTTCATAATTGAAACTCAAAAAGAATCTCCAATGTGGATGAGTATACCAACAGTGCTGCTGAAAGATCAGAAACTATCCCGGAAGGCTTAACCACTGCAGGACGGAATCTGGAGAGATGAAGTCTAGAGCAAAGGACACAGAAGGGGGACCCTAGAATGGAGCCACCTACCATTTTCTTTTCCACCTCCAAGAGCTCATCCTCTGTCTTCTGGCGCAGGCAGTGAACCATGACAGCCGATGTGGTGGTTTTGCACCCAGCAGTAACAGCAATTTTCTGGAGTGATGACAAGTAAAAGTGGAGTTCCAGAATAGCACCCTTTCTATCTAGCAATGTACACAAAGGGGTGTTACACCAAACACCACTTCTAAATGCAGAAGGAGGGACATTAAAATGGAAGCCATGTGCTCAGGGCTCAACTGTGTGTTGATTCTTTATTAATTGGAGCTGTTACATGACTCAGAAACACAACATATGTGTCTTTGTTAGTTTACCTGTGCTAGTTTTCTGTGATAAAGTTGCCACAAGTTTATCTTTAGGATTATGATGATAGATAGACAAAAATAATAAATAGATAGATAGATGATAGATAGATAGATAGATAGATAGATAGATAGATAGATGATAAGTAGGAAACATTCTCAGAGTTGAAAATCTCAAGAGAGGTTTTTGCCTGGAGGCATATAGGTTTCATCCAGGATTTCACAGATTTGTTTCAAATACCAAGTTTTTTACTTCTTTGCAACTGGTCCTCCAGAAAGCTCCCTGCTCTCCTCGGGCCTTTTTTTCCTCATTCATAATTGAGGGCAATCATTGTACTGCTCTTATAAGAGAGTTAATATGGGTGAAGTGTTGGAGAGTGTACCACATCTCCAACACAATGAAGCTTGTTCAGAGCTGAGGAAACCTAGATAAGAGTATTCACTGGAAAATATAAAATGTAGATTATGGTTTAAATGTGGGCTCTGAAACATCCATTTCTGTTCATCCACTCTTATTTCAATGATGGTTTAAGCATCTCCACTGAATGCACACACCTGTGCATTCCAACTGTCCAGAAGAATATATGATAGTTGAACAGGGAGAAACCTACCTTAGCTATAGGCTTGACATCCTTGTTGAACAGGCTAGCAGTGAAGACCACACCACTCTGAGAAATGGCTCTGTGGAAGAGGTTCTTGGCCAAGGGGGATAATACCTGACAGAGAGTTGGAGTGCAAAATTGTTACTCATAGGAAAGAGATCAGTGGCTCACTTCTCCATTAAGGCCACTCTCACTTGTTCCTCTGCCCCAACCATTTACTCAGAGACACATTAACTCTGAATTTGACAGCTACTTACGTTTCCCTCCTGAATCCAGGCTCCTCTGGGCCAGTGCTCTCAAAAACACCCAAATTCCACAATAAGAGATAGCATAGACCTTTACTTGACTGTCATCATGTACCTCTGATAATCAAAATATTGGAAAAACATTCTGGCATTCATAGTAAAAATTGTCTTAAAATTTCCATTACCAAGATTTATCCTGAGAAAAATAAGTATTAGGAAAGTGCTGGAGTTGTTTTCTAGTAACAGAGTGCTTTCATTGTAAGCCAAAATGTTTTGACTTCATATGTGGCACAGGAAATGGAAAAACTGAGAAGGAAAGGAAAGTAAAATGGTTACAAATGTGACTCACAATGATTTCTAAGAATATTCACACTGTTCATAGCAGTAAAAATTAAAATAAAAAGATTTACAGATTGTTTGGGTGAGCTTCCGCACTTCCCTGCACCCACTGGACCCTCCAGACACATTCCAAGCCCAGCATGTGAGTGAGACTTTCCTCCATGCTCTCAGGACCCCTCCAGATGCAGCCGAAGCCCAGGCCCAGCAAGTGTGTGGGAGAGCTTCCACACTCCACTTTATCTGCTAGATCGCTCGAGACCCAGCCCAGGCCAACTTATGAGTGGGAATTCTTGTCCTGCTCTCTGGACCCCTCCAAACCAATCTCAGTCCTGGCATACAGGCCTAGTGTGAAACTCTGCAGCTGAAGTCCCTGCAGGGAGGCTAGGGGCCAGAACCACCCAGATAATTCAGGAGCGGAACATATTGGCAGAGGGACACAGCAGATTCAGTCCCAAGGGCTGTGGCAGGAAGAAGCTGAGCAGAGCAGCCAGACACAAGCCAGGCACAATTTGATCAACTCAGACTTCATAGATCTGCAACAAGTAAGCTGAGACACTTTGCTAGACCCAGATCTATAAAGGAATATTCCCTCTTTCTCTCTTGCGAGACAGAGGGGGCAAAAGGTAACCAGGGTGAACTAGTTAGTCTGTAAAACACCAGGTACATCAAGGGGAGGGGATCAGAGAGAACTTCTTAGCAGAATTAACCTAAATACAAGTTCCCAATTTAATATCTGCTTAGCTACATAGACATAATGATTGCTCTTACTGTCCAAAATATAAACCCACTAGTTACAAAAGTTTGTCAAATCCTAAATATCATTACCCATTATTAGTGTTCCTCATTGCAGTTCCGTAAATAGAAAACTATAACTGCCTTATACATATAATCTCTTTTGGTTAAGACTCTCAGTAGGTGCTAAGGTTATACCTGCACCAAAGTTCTACATTAAAGATCAAAGGACAGTGCTATACAAAATGACAAAGGGAAGAATCAAAATGCAAAATGAGGCCCCAAGCCCAACCAGAACAAGTGCAGAAGACACTAGCACAGAAGACATTGGGAATCACACAGCTGAAATGCCTGTATGGTGACGAAAGTAAAAAAAAATTTAAAAAAAAAAACATGCAGAAAGCAATAGAGGAACTCATATCAGAAATAAGCTCTCAAATAAAAAAGAAATCTCTACATAATATCGCCTGATGTAAAGAATCAACTCCAGAAACATATAGAGGAAATAAGATAAGAATTAATCTCTGAAGTAAAAAAAAGAAAGGATAAACTATAAAGAAAGAATTAAAAACTGCTTCTCAAGAAGACATTGATAAAAAATAGAGGAAATGAGAAAAATGATGGAATTTTTTAATTTTACTATTTCCTTATGAATATTATTGAGAAACACATAGAAAGACAACAGTTTCAAAACCGATTAACAGGGCAGTTTAAATAATTAATACATTGCATATTGTTATCTTCTTAGTGGGTATTCATAGTACAAGGTGCAGACATGATATCCTGTCCAAACACTGTTACTACAAATTTTTCTTCTCATTGAATGAAGAGAAACTAACTGTATATCTACACTAACTATTTTGTATATACAGATACAAAATGGTCCTTCCTTTGTATCCCATTTTTTTGTTTAGTTTTCTTAGAGATCAATATTCCATTGCCAAATAAATATGGTAGGTGGGAGAATTCAGCAAAATAATCCAATATAGTCCAGTAGTCCATAACAGTACCAGGTTTTCCATAGGACTAGAAAAGTCAGAAGTTGTTGACTTCAGCATTTCACAGCTCAGCATATTAATAAGGCTTTAATTTTTATACCTCGTTTTAATACTTTTCTGCTGGATGATTAAGACCAAGATAAACAAGACTTATATAACAAGAAATGTAACTTTTTATGTGATAAAGTCAGTCAAGTCCCATTAGAATTTATCCTGTAACACTGTACCGAAGTTTGCAGATCCTCTGTCAGTGTCAGTCATTGGAATGAGTCACGGCCATTGCTTGACCAATTTGATCTCTATGAAAGCCTGAGAGAAAGATTTTCTCCATGTGATTCTCCTTAGGCACACTCTACATCATTGATCACTTTACTCTGAGGGCCCATAATCTCCTTGAAAAGAAAATATGGGACACAACTGAGTTGCATGAAGAAACATTATAGGTTCTCCTATGTCCTGAGTCTTCACTGACATTGAAAGTCTAGGGCCAAAATGTTGGCTCTCTCTACAGCCCTTCTTTCTGTCTAATTTTTGGTCTACAAACTCAGGTTGTTACCCCTCAAGAAGAGAAGGTTATTATTATGCTACAACATATGCAGTTGGTTTAACCTCACTATCTGTCTGAGTATCAAACGTCTTAGGCATAACATGGAACAGGTATTTTCCATCTAGTATTGACATGTTAAACTTTAAGTCTCTTCAGAATGTGGAGAAAAAAAATTAAATAAAAAGTATTTTTAAAATATGAATAAATTATTACATATTTTTACACAGAAATTTAGAAATCTAACCATGTGCAGCACTGTAGCAGGACAGTTCTGTGACATTTTTTGTTCTTGTCTCTTTTTTTAATTTATTATCTCCTTGTTTTTCTAAATAAACATTTACTTGAGAGACAGTATGGCAATAATTGGTATGTCATGACCAGCAGTACATATTTAGAAGACCAGAATGACAGGCATTCCAAGCATGACCCTTCTATTACATATTGCTATCCTCAGTGCACCTGCTTAGTTCACAGGTACCAGCATATATAGTTAGTCAGGGTGAGAATCCTACCAATTAACTGCCATTTTCAAAAATGGGCTGATATTTCTCAGGATCATTGCCTTACCCATCTTGTGCATATACATGTATAGCTTTGTCCCTGTCATGTTTCCAAGCTTTTCTTCTTGCCATCTCGTCATTGTCAAATCCTCAAGTTCTCACTCTCCATTTAATTGTGTTATACCTTTCTATTTGAATTTCTTCTTTTGAGTTCTTATACTAAGGAGATTGCATGATATTTTCACATGTGAGTCTGCTTTATTTCACTTGAGTATATCTTCAAGTGGCATCCACTTAAATATAAATCCTATAAGTTTGGCCTTCTTTATAGCTGAGCAATACTCCATTGTATAACAAAACCACATCTTTTTCATCCATTCCTCAGGTGATGGGCATCTTGATTGAATGAGCAATATAGGAAAGAAATAGATCGCATGAAACAGAGTCAAAGAGATACAGAGTAACTTAAAATGTCAACCACAAACTTTTGAAACTGTTTGACTGAAAGTGAAGATAGAGTTTCAGATTTTGAAGATGCTGTTGTGGCTAGTGAAAAGTTAAGAAAAGATCTCAAAAACAACTGGGATGCCAAAAAAAATAATTCATCTTCTGTAAAGTGATGCAAAGATGAGCAATGTGAGACTAATAGGTATCAATGACAAAGGATTCCTACAAATGATATAAAACAATATGGGCATAAGTAATAGCAGAAAACTTTCAAAATATGGGGAAACAGTCTGACATTAAAGTAACTGTAGCATTCAGAGCTCCAAAAAACATCAACCCAATTAAAAACATACAGAGACATATAACAGTAAAGATCCCAAAAGCATAACAGAAGAATAAAATACTGAAAGCCACTAGGGAAAAGAAACAGATCACATTTAAAGGAAAACCCATCAGTAGAGCAGCAAACTTCTCTTCACAAACCATGAAGTAAAGAACAGCATGGAGCAGAGTATTTCAAGTCTCCTATGAAAATAAATGTCAGTACAGACTACTATACACTGCATAACCCTCTCTCAAGTTTGACAGGAAATTTAAATACTTCCATGACAAAGAACAACTAAACAACTTCATGATGACAAAGCCAACCCTACAGACTACTAAAAGATGATGTAGAAAGGGACCAAAATGATCACAACTACATGAATGAGAACAATGAAACCCAATAAATAGCGCAAACAAGCACAGGAGAAAAAGGAATAAACAACATTAGGTAAATAACATGTCAATCACAAATCCATATATCTCAATTATAAACATCAATGTAAATGGACTCAATTCACCAATTAAAAGAAATAGCCTGGCACAGTGGAATAGGAAACAAACTCCAACAATATGCTGCATGCAAGAAACATAGTTAATTCATAAAGATATTAATAGACTGAAAGTCAAAGGTTGGAAAAAAATACTACACACACCAGCACCTCAGAAAAAACCAGAGGTAGCAATCCTGTTCTCAGATAGTCTCAATTTCAAACCAAGAATTATCAAACGAAATAAAAAAGGCCACTATATACTGGCTAGTGGACATATTCAAGAGGAAGAGGTAACACTCATAAATATCCATGTACCAAACATGGGAGCACCCAACTATATAAGACAAACCTTAATGAGCATTAAAAATCTAATATCCAATACCACAATCTTAACAGGAGACCTTAACACTCTCTTATCCCAAAGACATAGGGCAAACAGAAATAAATAAGCAAAACGTAGCAGAATGGAACCAGAGCTCAGAACAAAGGGC